GCCTGGCGCAAGGCTGGCCTGGAGGGTTTCCCCGGGGAGGCAGGAGCCGGAGCAAGGAGCGGCCAGCCTGAGGCAGGACATGCCTCTCTGACCCTGCTCTCTCTGGGCCTCCCACCTGGAGCAGTCTCTGATGCAATAGCAGAAAGCAGGCCCTCGGTTCCAGGAGCTCAGGAGGCACAGGGACCAGCAGAGGACCAAGGCCATCTTGGAGGTCTTTGTGGAGGAGGCAGCCCTCGGGCTTGAAGCTCCAGGAAGCAGAGACAGGCATTCTGTGGAGAGGGGGCCCCTCAGACCGAGGCTGACCTGTCGGTGGTCCTTGATGGGGAGCCAGTCCCAGCCTTGTGTCCTTTCCTGCCGTGCCTTCTTCTCTTGTTGGCTCATAAGGACTCTTTACATATTCAGTGTGTCAGTTTGTCTTATAACAACAAGTTATCATTTGCCTTTTGTTTTACTCACAACGGGCTTTGAGCAACAGCATCCTAAATATTTTTTATGTTGATCGGTTTCCCAACCTCTCCCTGGATGGTCTTTCTGGTCCCAGGCTGCTTCTCTGTTTCTAGTCCTTGCTCTCCTGTGCACATGGTCGGTGTGCAGGAAATGCCACAGACTCAAGCTTGGAAAAGGGCAGCTCTAAGAAATGTGGATGCAAGGCCAGTGCTGCGGCTCACTAGGCTAATCCTCTGGGTTCTAGTCCCGGTCAGGGCGCCGGATTCTGTCCCGGTTGCCCCTCTTCCAGGCCAGCTCTCTGCTGTGGCCCGGGAAGGCAGTGGAGGATGGCCCAAGTGCTTGGGCCCTGCACCCCATGGGAGACCAGGATAAGTACCTGGCTCCTGCCATCCGATCAGCGCAATGTGCTGGCCGCAGCGCGCCAGCCGTGGCGGCCATTGGAGGGTGAACCAACGGCAAACTGTCTCTTTCTCTCTCTCACTGTCCACTCTGCCTGTCAAAAAAAAAAAAATGTGGATGCCACAGTACCTTTGCACACCTGGGCTTCTGCCCACCACAGCCCTCTGCTCATTCTCTCCTGCTTGGAGGAAAGGGTCTGTGTGTCTGTCCAGAGGGGCACGGGGTGGGGGAGACACAGGAAGCTCCCGGCTGGACAGCTCCCACGCATGGACTCACTGAGCCCCCTCACAGCCCTACGCCATAGGGACAATTGTCCAATACTGCTGCTCAGAGAGGTTATGTGATTTGCCTGAGGCCACACAGGAAGGACCAGGTCAGATTTGGGTTTTTGCGGTATGACCTCATAATCTTTTACACCCTCTTCCCTCCCTGTTTTCCCGTGGGATCATGTGGCATCCACAGCCTCTTGGGGCCTCGATTTCCCCATCTGCCAATGCCCCGCCTTAGCCCCAGTGTCAGGCACTCAGTACATGTTCACTTTCGCCCATTAGGAAGGCGTGAGTCCATGCTCTGCCCCCCAAGCCCCACATCCCCTGGGGTGGAAGGGCCACTGGGGAGGGCTGGGCCAGCAGGGCCAGCCATGGTTCAGTCAGGAGCGGGGACGTGCAGTGGTGGGGACAGAGCCTCACACAATGCCCAGTGTGTGAGGAGCCAGAGCTGGGGCCTGTCCCACACCCAGGAGGCTGCACCTGTCCCCGCATCTGGAGGGCTGCACCTGTCCCCACACCTGTGAGGCTGCACCTGTCTCCACCCTGTAGGTCTGCACCTGCCCCACACCTGTGAGGCTGCACCTGTCCCACACCTGTGAGGCTGCGCCTGTCCCCATACCTGTGAGGCTGCACCTGTCCCCACACCTGTGAGGCTGTACCTGTCTCCACCCTGTGGGTCTGCACCTGCCCCACACCTGTGAGGCTGTACCTGTCTCCACCCTGTGGGTCTGCACCTGTCCCACACCTGAGAGGCTGCGCCTGTCCCCACACCTGAGAGGCTGTGCCTGTCCCCACACCTGTGAGGCTGCACCTGTCCCACACCTGTGAGGCTGCACCTGCCCCACACCTGTGGGTCTGCACTTGTGGGGCTGCACCTGACCCCATCCGATGGTCTGCACCTGCCCCACACCTGTGGGGCTGCACCTGACCCCACACCTGTGAGGCTGCACCTGACCCCACACCTGTGAGGCTGTGGAACTATCACGCCCCTTGCATGTGCTCTATCTCAGGCTGACTCTGCAGGCGCTTGCTACTCCCTCCTGGGCCTGCAGCCACACCTCCAGGAAGGCCCTCCTCCCAGGTCTCCCTTGGGGCTCTGATCCCGCCGATGTCCTGGGGCCTGCCCTGTTAGATGGGCTCCCCGGCACCAGACACTAAACCTGGCGTTGAGTGGCCTGCACAAGAGAGGCTCAGAGAGGGACAGAGACTGGCCTCAGGCCATGCAGGACCCCCATGAGGCCCCAAGACCCTCCAGGGTCCTCCTCTTGCTCTTGGGACTCCGTGAGGTGCAGGCAACGGCCTGCCCAGCAGAGGGCGCAGAGGGCCTCTGACCTCTGCTGCTCCCAGGGGCCTGGGGCCAAGGACACCCTGTCTCTCCCCTGCCCCCACCCTCTGCAAAGGATGTTCTCAAGATAAAAATACCGCGGGGAACATTCTCTGGTGTCTGGTGTGACTGTCGTCCACCTGCTGGGGCCAGAACCTCCCGCCTGGCCTCCTCTTAGGTCTCTGGGAGGTGAGGGGGTGGGCTGCAGCCCCTCAGTGCACCTGTCGCCTGGGCTGATGCCTCAGCCACAGGTCCTGGGGCACTTGCAGTTCCTGCGTTGGTCGGTGGGGGCACTCATAAGCCCCATCTGTGGCCTGGCAGGTCCCGGGCTGGGGTGGGGGTGGGGGTGGGGGCTAGGCAGCCAGGCCCTCTGCCACCGTGGAGCCGCTGGGGTCTGGGCTGAGCACTCCCAGCAAGCCTGGCGTGGGGGTGGGGTGAGGGAGTGGGGAGGGTGGGGGGCAGGCATGGACACAGGACTTGATCTACCTTCATGACGGCTTCTTGCTCTGTGTGGGGTCTCCCCTTTGGGGAGGGCCAAGGAGGGCGGGGGGGGCAGGGGAGGGGCCTGAGTGTGCTGAGGGCGGGGTCTCCTGGATCCTGCTGGAGGGAGTTAGTTGGAGACCTGGGCTCAAGTCTTTCCTGTGCAGGTCCCCAGCTGGGCAACGTTGATCTGGGATGGGGCCTCTTTGGGTGTGAATTTCCCCATCAGTTTCGAGAGTGAAGGGGGGAGGAGGGTGATGGGGCCGGGAAAGCAGGGGCCTGGGGCCTGGGAGTCTTCGAGGGAGGAGCCTGGAGGGGCAGACCTACCCATCTACCCACTAGTCCACCCCCCCACCCATCTGATCCATTCAATGCCCACTCATCTGCTCAGCCATCTACCCACCCACCTAGAGACCAGCCAGGCTCTCCCCTTACAAGTAGACTCAGAGAGGGGAAGTGACTCACCCAAGGTCACCCAGCTTGTGAGGGGCGGAAGTTGGGAAGCCAGCCTGTGTGCCCCTAGACCTACTCCTGCTACCTGACCCAGGAGGCCTACGATGTGAAGGTGACTCACCAGCCATCTGCTTAATCCCAGCTGGAAAAGCCAGTGTGACTGTGCCGAGCGTGGCTGCACCCTCGGAGAGGGTGGGGGCCCACAGACGCACCTGGCAGGGGGAGGAAGGTGGGAGGCAGCACAAGGCAGTTCCCCTCTGCCAGTTCTCAGAGCCCCTTCCTGCCATTCTGCCCCTTGGCCTCATGGCACACTGGAGAGGAAGGTAGGGGTCCTTTTTGACCCATGGAAAATCGTAGGGGCCATGTAGGATGTGTGTGTCCAAAGCAAGTCCTTGGCAAATCACTATGTGCACACATCCATATAGTTATCCTTGTGCCCACTCATCTGTCTGTTCATCTGTCCCACTCCATCCATCCATCCATCCACCCATCCATCCAAGTGCCCATCCATCCATCCATCCACCCATCCATCCAAGTGCCCATCCATCCATCGTCCATCACACATGCCTGACCATCCATCCATCCATCCAAGTGCCCATCCATCCACCCATCCATCATCCATCACATGTGCCCATCCATCATTCACCCATCGTCCATCACACGTGCCTGTCCATCCATCCATCCATCCATTCAATCCATTCCATCCCTCATCCATCCATCTACCCATCAATCATCCATCCATCCATCCATCTACCCACCATCCATCACCCATCACACGTGCCCATCCATCCATCCATCCATCCCTCATCCATCCATCTACCCATCCATCCATCCACCCACCATCCATCACCCATCACATGTGCCCGTCCATCCATCCATCCACCCACCATCCATCATCCATTACACTTGCCCATCAGTCCATCCATCCATCCATCCATTCCACCCATCCACCCATCCATCATCTATCAATCTGTCACCCATCACATCTGCCAGTCCATCTATCCATTCTTCCATCCCACTTGCCCTCATACCCATCCATTCCATTCAACCATCCATCCATCCACCCATCCATCACCCATCATACGTTCCCATTCATCCATCCACCCTCACACATACCCATCCAGCCACACACCAATCCACCTGGATGTCCACTGCTGCCCCAGAGCTGACAGTGGGAAGGCTTTGCAGATGGTGGCTAGGAGCATAGCATGGGGGCCCGAGTTCCTTTGTGACCTTAGAAGAATGACCACACTACCTGCCTCTTTGGAGGGAGAAAGGCAATAGTTCCAACTATAATAGTTCCAAAGGCAATAGTTCTAATCGTTCCAATCCTGGGGACTACATGAGATGATGCATATGGAAAACAATGCCTATACTCTCAAGCGTGGACCCCATTGCTGTTGTCGTTTTCTGTGAGGACCTGTCTTACCTCCCACCCCTGCTCGCCGTGGTTGTCATGGACAGAGCTGGGGCGCTGCAAAGGTGCGGGGCCTCAGATGGGCAGGCCACAGGCCCTGGGGGAGGAGAGAAGAAAATGCGGGTTCTAGTGGACGTTTGTGGCCTTGAGCCCTCTGAGGAGCACAGCGCCATCTGCAGTAACTGTCTGGGCTTTGTTCTCTCCACTTTAGGGTCTTTTAATGATCGGATCCTCCCCGGCTGATGCCTGGGAGATGGCAGTCACTGCTCATTCAGCCTTGAAGACAGTTAAGTGCTCGCTCAGCACCATCACTTAGAAGACAGAATTTAAGAGGTAAGATGGAGGTTTCGGCCGTACATCTAGCCACGTCGTCACACATTCCACGAGACACTCATCCACGCACCACCCACTGGCTGATCTGTCTGTTCTGCCTTCTCACCCATCCCCACCCCCTCCTGCCCTCTCATTCACCTGTTACCCACCCAGTACTGCTACATCACCACATCCCTCTGCCAACATCTACCTGTCCGTCCACTTACTCATCTGTTGGCCCATCTACCCACTTACCTATTAATCCATTCATCCAACTGTCCTGTGCATTCATACATCTGTTCATCTGCCCACCCTGCCATCCATCATCCATCCACACATCCATCCACACATCCATCCATCCATTTAGTCATCCATCCATCTATTCATCTGTCCATCCCTCCCTCCCTCCTTCCCTCCATCCATTCATTTATCCATGCCTCCCTCCCTTCTTCCCTCCATCCACTCAGCTATCCATCCATCCATCCATCCATCCATCCATCATCTAATCCATCATCTCATCTATCCATCCATCCATCATCTCATCCATCCACTCAGCTATCCATCCATCCATCCATCCATCATCTCATCCATCCATCATCTCATCCATCCACTCAGTTATCCATCCATCCATCCATCCATCCATCCATCCATCCATCCATCCATCATCTCATCCATCCACTCAGCTATCCATCCATTCATTCACCTTCCTACCTTCCCATCATCCGTTGACCTATGCATCTACTCACTAGTCCACCCACCCACCTTCTGATCCATTCATTGCTCATCCCCTCTACCTACTCATCTGCTCACCAACCTAACTCATTCATCTGTCTGGTCACCCCCATCCATCTACCCAGCCATCCATCAGCCAGGTTTATCCACCCGTCTTTTCCACCACCTCTGCACATGTGTCTGTCTCCTCCTCCTCTGTCCCATCATCCCCTTGTACATCCCTCAGTTCTGCTTTCTGCTCCATTCTTTCATCTGGTCAGGGAGCTCCTCCTGGGCGCCTGTACCAGCCCCTCTGGGCCTCTGAGGTCAGTCAGAGATGGGGCCTGGGCAAGATCACCTCCCCTGCAAGTCAGACTTGGAGGCTTGAGAACAGGGGAATTCCAGGGCTATGAAATCCAAACGGGCTTCGTGGAAGAGGTGGGAGTAGGAAGGAAAGATCTTGGGGGAGGAGGGGCCGTATTGGCCTCGTGGTGCTGGGGATTCAGGAGGGAAGGCTGCCAGGAAGAGGCCTGGGAGACTCGGCGGGGAGGGCCCAGGACAAATGTTCCCCGGGGAAGTAGTTCAGTGGGAGGTGAACTCAGGAAGTTCAAGGAGGGGGAGGAAGGAATTGAGACAGGAAGGGAAGGAAGCAGTAAAGGGTGTGTGTTACAGACAGAGTCACTGCTGGGGCAGCTGGGGCAGCCGGGAGACAGCACAGCCACCCCCCCCCCCCCCGCCATGCCATCTGTGCACCTGCTCCCGCCAGTCACCGACCAGAGGCTGCCCCTGGCAGCGTGAGCTCCTGGGCCTGCCCTGTGCTGGGCTGCTCCAGTGGCTGGAGGGGGCTTTGAGGCAGGTGGGACCCCCGGGATGTGAGTGGTGCACCAGCCGCCCCCAGCCGGGCTCATCCTGATGTACTGTGGCTGTTTCTCTCCCTGGGCCTGGCAGAAGCTGGGCTTCATTGCGTTGGCCCTAAATGTTTGCAGGTCATGGGTGAGCACAGTGGGCAGAGGTTTCCTGAGTACCTGGGCAGGGGGCATTTGGCCTAGAAAAAGTGGTCAGGAGTGAGAGATCACATCAGTCCCTCCTGCCCCTCACCCCCTGCACACACATGCTTAGAGCCCTCATCAGCTCGCCTCGGCTGTCCAACACCCTGCACCACGAGTGCCCCTTCTTCGGCCCCTGCAAAGGAAGGATTAACATTTCCAGGCTCTCATGCCAAGGCTCACGGGTGCTGGCTGGGTTGGGAAAGATTCTGAGGCAGATCCTGCACACGGTGGAAGAAAGTTCTGTGATTGATTAGTGATGTCTGCCATGGGCACAGGCTGGCGGAGGTGCAGACCGTGCACTGAGCTGTCTCTAAGGAGTTGCTTGGTGGTGCGGCTTTGTCATGAAGCACTGAGTGCCTGGTCCCTGAGCATTCCAAAGCAGAGGGACAGCCGTGGGTCAGTGCCGTGAGGGTCTTCCAGCTGCTAATCTGGGCCAGTTGGGGTCTGGAGGGCCTTGGTTTGGTCCCCAGCCCCTCCTGGGAGGCGGGGGTCACTGGTAGTGACACTGTTAGTGTAGGGGTATGAGTGTTTGTTGGAGCACTCAGTACAATACCTGGCAGCAAGCGACAGCAAGGGTGAGTGCCGCTGGCCACACGCCCCTCTGTTGCCTGCACCGGGACTGGTGGTGTCCCGGACGGGGAGGCCCTCAAGAGGGGTCCTGCTGGCTCTCTGCTTTCTGGGACGCCCTGCACTGTCCCTGCTGCCCTGTGCTTTCTTGGCACCCGGGATCATGTGCTCAGGCCTGGCCCTGGCTCCTCCCGGATGTCACCGAAACCTGAGGTCGCGGGGCTTGGGGTGTTCCACTCCATCCGGAGGCACCGCCCCGTGAGTCTCGGGCCCCACCCTCGGGGTGGCGTTCTTCCTAAAAGCTCACATCTCAGAGCCTGGCAGACGAATCCAGGTGCCCCTGGGACAGCTGGGCCCGGACGGGCTTTGTCACCCCTTGGTGGTCTGCTGTCTGCTCTGCCACTGGGCTCGCTTGGATCAGCTGTGTGGCTCAGGTAGGGTGCCCCAGCGTCACCTGTGACCCCTGGGAGCTGCTGGCGAGGGCTGTCTTGTGCATCTTGTTCTGACCCTTAAATTGCTTGGTGACCTGGGACAAGTCTCTTTTCCTCTCTCAGCTCTCAGTTCCCCATCTAGAAAGTGGGGAGCTGACCTCTTCCAGAGAAACGAAGTCTCCGATTCCATTGTTTGTCTTACTTCCCCCTGTGCACCCCACTGGGCAAGAGCCAGCCAAGCCTGCTCACCCCTGATTGTGGCTGTGGCCCGCTGTTTCCCAAGCTCTGTTTATTAAGACTGCGTGGCTGCGTAAGCTCCTGGCCGTGCTGTGTGTGGGGAGGTCCTTAGGACACTGGGCAAATTTGTGGCACTGTGTTCACCAGGTATCCAGTGGGGGCTTCTCATACGCACACACATGCATATGCACATGCGTGTGCACGTGTGGATACATGTATAGGCACACACCACACAATGCACACACACACACCTGCACAGGCACACACCCACACCACGCAGATGCACAAACATGATTGTGCACACACACGTGCACACCCACACACAATACACACTCGTGCACACCCATGAATTACACACGCACATGCACACCCACACACACAATACACACTCGTGCACACACACACAGCAGAACAATGCCTCGCGATGCCAAGGACCAGCACTCTGGGTCCCAACTCTGTCTCTCCGGTGCTGGGTGACTCTGGACAAGTGACTTCCTCCGGGGTCTGTTTCTCGCTTGGAGAAGTGGGAGAAGGGGTGTGAGCTCCACCTGGCTGATGTTCTCTCTGCGGTTTTAGGAGGAGGTGCACAGCAGCAGGAGTACCCACCCCCTCAGGGCTGCCAGGAGCCGCTGCAGCGCCCTCGCCTCTGATTCTTGTGATTCTGGGTCCTGCAGGCCTGGAGCTGCTTCCCCAGCTGGAGCAGCCATGACCCGCTGGACGTCCCTCAAGGCCCCCAGGCCACCCAAACCTGCCGGCTGGGATCTGGCGGCCTCCCACCGGCGTCTGAGCACCCCTGCCCCCTCCCCCTGGAAGGCCTCGGGATTTGGGGCTGAGCCATCTTCCCCACACATCCCCGGGGGGTCCCACCACCGCCGGCTCCCTGCCTCCTGGCCCAGGCAGAAGCAGCATCCAGTGTCACCTCCTCAGGCCTCAGCTCCCCAGACCCATGGTGAGGTGGGCAGTGGATTACCCTGGGGCAGATGGCCGGGCAGATCCTGCCTTAAACGGAAGTGGTTTGAACGCCAGCGCCTCTGTGAGAGGCTGTGTGGCTCATGGAGAGTCACTGAACCTCTCTGAACCTCGTTATAGTGGAAGCAGGCAGAGGTCAGAGGCCGTGACCCCTCTGAGGCCTTAGCTAGCGCAGATTTGACCAGAAGCTGAGCCACACGGCTAGGGGCTGAACCCGGGATGCTTGGGCCACCTGCCCCTTCCCAGAGGGCCATGGGTCTGCAGACTGCTGCACACGGCCCCAAGAACTCCTTGGAAGGTGGCTTCTCCTGGCAGGGGCCACTATGACAGGTGCTGTAGGCAGCTCTGACCTCAGGGCGCAGCCAGGTTGGGTGGGGCTGTGGGCCGTTCCCATGTGTGGGCAGCTTCTGGGGGCTGCCTGCCTCAGCAGAGCCCTCTCCCCCTCCTCCTACCCCAGCCTGGTCAGATGAGCCCAAGTCCAGAGCCCTGGGCTCCTAGGGCTCAGGGATGCCCCAGGCTGGCACTGAGTGCAGGGTTTGTTCTACTGGCTGTGGGGGATGGAGTGAGTGCATGTGTGGCTGGCCCCGAGCAGGTGGTCCCTGGTGCCGGCCGAGGGCAGTGATGGGAGCTGGTCATCCTGGGAGGTGTCCCCAGGAACCTGGGTTTAAGGATGAGGGGAGGTAGGGACGGGGCCAGACCTCAACCCAAAGCCAGCTGGCAAGTGCCCCTGTATGGGTGCCCCCACAAGTGACTGGGAGGCTGCCTGGGTGCTGTGGTCGGGGCCCAGGTCATGTTCTGGAGTCACCTGGGTCAGGGGGTGGCAGGCGCTGTTCCAGGTCCTGGGGTGAGGCAGCAGCAAGCCCTGGGTAGGGTGGGGTGGCATGGGTGTGTCTCAGCGTGGGGACTGTCACCAGTGTCCTGGGGCTCACCCTGAGGGAGGGGCTCTGGAGCAGCTCGGGGGCTGTGTGCAGCAGGGGGAGTGAGATCTGAGGCGGGTCCCAGGGTAGACCCATGAAGGTCCCCCAGGTCCCAGGGGAGACTGGCTCTGAACAGGAGGCAGGACAGGGTCTGGTGGGGCGTCCACAGGTCCCTGTAGGCAGCCCTTATGTAAGTATGGATTTGCAGTGATGGGATCCATCCTAGTAAACACTGTTTGGAAGCAGAGCCCCCTCCCAGGGGGTGGGAGTCAGGGGAGTTGAGGTGACCTAGGGTTTTATCTGGGAGGGGTCTGGACAGGTGGAGGAGGTGGGGGAGGGAAGCAGAGGAGGTGGGGAGGGAAGCGTAGAAGGTGCTCCATGTGTGTGTGGGGGGGTGGGTGAGGGCCTGGGTCGGGGTGCAGAGGAGGGGCCGCCCCCTCCCCCTCCCCAGGCAGACCACTGTCCCCTCTGTTGCAGGAGCCCTCCTGGGCGCGAGCCCGGGCTCCCTGACGCCCGGGATGACTGCAGCCAGCCGGGCCAACCCCTACAGCATCGTGTCCTCGGAGGAGGACGGGCTACACCTGGTCACCATGTCCGGCGCCAACGGTTTCGGCAATGGCAAGGTGCACACGCGGCGCCGCTGCCGCAACCGCTTCGTCAAGAAGAACGGACAGTGCAACATCGAGTTCGCCAACATGGACGAGAAGTCGCAGCGCTACCTGGCTGACATGTTCACCACGTGCGTGGACATCCGCTGGCGCTACATGCTGCTTATCTTCTCGCTGGCCTTCCTCGCCTCCTGGCTGCTGTTCGGGGTCATCTTCTGGGTCATCGCTGTGGCGCATGGCGACCTGGAGCCAGCCGAGAGCCGCGGCCGCACGCCCTGCGTGCTGCAGGTGCACGGCTTCATGGCGGCTTTCCTGTTCTCCATCGAGACGCAGACCACGATCGGCTACGGGCTGCGCTGCGTGACGGAGGAGTGCCCAGTGGCCGTCTTCATGGTGGTGGCCCAGTCCATCGTGGGCTGTATCATCGACTCCTTCATGATCGGAGCCATCATGGCCAAGATGGCACGGCCCAAGAAGCGGGCGCAGACGCTGCTGTTTAGCCACAACGCCGTGGTGGCGCTGCGTGACGGCAAGCTCTGCCTGATGTGGCGCGTGGGCAACCTGCGCAAGAGCCACATCGTGGAGGCGCACGTGCGGGCCCAGCTCATCAAGCCCCGGGTCACGGAGGAGGGCGAGTACATCCCGCTCGACCAGATCGACATCGACGTGGGCTTCGACAAGGGCCTGGACCGCATCTTCCTCGTCTCGCCCATCACCATCCTGCACGAGATCGACGAGGCCAGCCCGCTGTTCGGCATCAGCCGGCAGGACCTGGAGACGGACGACTTCGAGATCGTGGTCATCCTGGAGGGCATGGTGGAGGCCACGGCCATGACCACGCAGGCCCGCAGCTCCTACCTGGCCAACGAGATCCTGTGGGGCCACCGCTTCGAGCCCGTGCTCTTCGAGGAGAAGAACCAGTACAAAATCGACTACTCGCACTTCCACAAGACCTACGAGGTGCCCTCCACGCCCCGCTGCAGCGCCAAGGACCTGGTAGAGAACAAATTCCTGCTGCCCAGCGCCAGCTCCTTCTGCTACGAGAACGAGCTGGCCTTCCTGAGCCGCGACGAGGAGGACGAGGGGGACGCGGACCCCGCCGACCGCAGCCCCCAGGCCAGGCATGACTTCGACAGGCTGCAGCCCGGCGGAGGAGCCCTGGAGCAGCGGCCCTACAGGCGGGAGTCGGAGATCTGAGCCGCCGCCGCCGCCTGCTGTGGGCCTAGGTGTGCAGCGTCCGCCTCCCCCGCATCCAGGGGTGGGGGGAGAGGTCCCCCCACGCAGCGGCCGCCCCTGCGGGGGCCCCCGGATGGAGCGGAATGGGGCCGCGCGGGCCCGGGGGTCTTCGCAGACTCAGTAGCGCTGTAGTTGTTTTACGTTTCTTCGCAATAGCCTCAGGAGGTCGGCGGGAGGGAGGCCGTGGCAGGTGCAGGGGGCGGGGCCAAGGGAGGTGGCTCCCGGGGCGGGGCTGGCGGGGCGGGGCCGGGACACCGGAGCTCCTGGCTGCTGCCTGCAGGTGGAGGCGCAACTTTCGGGGCCCACGGCTGGACGGGCGGCGGGCCCTGGGTCTCCTCTGCTGACAGGCTGCCGCGCCCCTGGCTGGTTTTTAACTTGGGGAGAAACATCGGGTTTTCGGCTTTCTCAACCTGAGCTTGGGTCAGACTGTTTACAAACACACACACACACACACACACACATTGACAATGCGATTGAAAAAAAAAATCTTTTTAAATTCCTGGGTGGATCAAGAGGATGATTAGAGTTCCCAGATGCAGGGAGTTGGATAAAGGCTCCAAAGTTTCCCCGAAGCTGCGCGGGCCTCTGCACCCCCACCCCCACCCCCACTCCCGTTATGGGGCAGGTGCAGCCGGGGCAGGGGCTGTCCCATGTGCTCAGAGAGTGGCTTGGGGTCTGTTTGTGTTAGAGAGCCAGACTTGGAAGCTTTGGAATGTCACTGGGCAGGGGGTGGGGAGGGATGGGCTGTGGGGGCTGGGAAGAAACAGGCTTGATCTTTGTGCATTTGACTTTGTACCTTGGAGGTGCGTCTCAGGGCCGCACAGGGCACCTGCTGTGCCGCGGGTCCACTGCCCCCAGCTGACTCTGGAGTCTGCTTCTCTCTCCAGTCCTGCCTGTGGCCTCCGCCCCTTGGTGCAGGGACGAACGGAATGGTCAGGAAACCCAGGGAGGTGGGGGTTCCCTGGGCCGGGAATCGGGTTCCAGCTAGGAGGAAGTGGGTCAGTCCCCGTCCCCCCCCTGGGCTCCCAGTGTGAGTCGTGCCTTAGACACTCCGGGTTGTCCGGCTCCAGTTGCTTCTGTTTTTATCTGCCTCATCCGTCCGTCCCTCCCGCTGCCCCCAAGTCCCTGCCGGCCCTCTGTGCACCCTGGGAAGGTGACAGGGGCTTGGGCCTACCTGGCACAGGGCCACATCCCCTTACCCACACCTGGGGCATTACAGGCGAGCCCAGAGGGCATGGCCCTGCCCTGGTGTTGACTGGCAGAGGAAAGATCTTAGGAGGTGACCCTTAGCTCCTCCCACTCCCCTCCCTGCTGACTTCATGGAGTGGGGAGAAGGGGCAGGGGAGCAGGGGGCGGGGTCACACTCATTTTCATATCCACAGTGGAACAAAGAATTCGGGCTCAGGCTGCAGGGTCCCCCTTGTCACTGGCTTTGCTGGCCCTGTTGTGTTGCTGGTAGCTGATGGAGACTTGGGGTGGAGCCAGCCGTGTGCTCCCCAAGACAGTGCAGAGCCAGAAGGGGCACCAAGGACTCTGTGGCCGCAGTGGGGAGACTCAGTCAGGGGGCAGAGAAGGTGTGGCGTGGGCTAGGGCTCTGGCCCCTCTCGGCCTCCTCCCTGAGGACGGGGCTGGGGTGGGGTGGGGGGACCTAGAGACCCAGCAGCCCCCACCCTGAGATCCCTTGGCTCAGACGCCTTCCTTGCTCTGTCCCCTGGGAAGTTTAGCCTCAGCATTGGCATGTCTTAGCTCCCAGACCTGGCCCCCAGTTCCCACGCCGGACTGCCTTTCTCAGCCTTAGCCCTGCGGGGTGCAGGTGGGGTCCACGTGGGAGGGACGGGTGGCCCTGGGCAGCTGTCCCTTGGGTTTGAGAGGGCAGCCTCCCACTCCCCCTCCTTCTCCAGGACCCGGGGCTGCCTCAGGCCCCACCTTCCTCCCCTGCCCAGCCCCTGCAGGAGGGAGAGCAGCCGCTGGATCAGGGCACATGCTGGGTTTCAAACTCTCCTGCCCTTCTCCCCTCCCCCCTTCCTGGTATTTATTTATTTATTTATTTATTCATTGCTTGTGCTAAAGACCAAAATAGGCTCTCTCTCCAGTGCACTGGAAGCGGGGAGGGCGGATGGGAGAGGCCGTGTGTGCCGGCAGGAGCAAGGGTGCCTTGGCCCCTGGGGGAGTGAGTGTGTTCATGTGTGTGTGTGTGTGTATGCGTGTGTCCTGCATTTGCCATGTTGCATGTGACTGTGACTGACTCTGGGTGGGACATGCACATATGTGTTAATCCACATGCGTGTCCACAGGGGCATGTGTGTCCGCACGAGGCATCTGAAGGCAGGCGTGTGTCGGAGGGGGTGGATGTTGGTCCATGTGAACACGCGTGGGAGCGTGTGTGTGTGTGTGTATGTGTGTGTGTGTTGTGGGTGTGTGTGGGTCCAGGGGTGTGTGTGCACGTATGTCAGCGGGGAGGCGGCCACATGCGGCTTCTGCGAGCCCCTCGGGACACCGGCCACTCCCTGAACCCCTGCTGGTGCTGTGCTGCCTGGTCCCTGCCCAGCCGAGGGGGCTGGGGGGTGGGGGGAGGTGGCGGCGGGAAGGAGCCGCTTTCAGGAGCCCCCCGCCCGCCCGGGGCGTCCGCCCTGCGTGAGGTCACAGAATGTCAAATCTATTTTAAATGGTGAAACCGGAGAATTTCCATGTTATTTTCAATACATAGTGGTATCTAAAGACGTAGCCATGAGATAGACCACATTAAATGCATTTTGATCTCTTGGAGTGCCATTGCGTTGCCATGTGTCTCTGACCATCCCCGGCCTGCTCTGCTGCGTGCTGGGGTGTCACCACTTGTCCTCAGACCCCCCGCCCCCACCGAGTGCTTCAGGGACGTGGGTGGGACGCGGCAGCAGTTGCAGGGAGAGGGGACAGTCCTCAGCCTCTGTTCACACACACACACACACACACACGCACACACACACACTCACTGTACCCCCCGGGGGCAGCTGCCTTGCTCTCTGTGGGCCCAAGGCTCCCTCCCCATCTTCCCTCCTTCAGTGAAGGTGTGCTGAGCGCAGTAGCCCCTCCTAGGACGGGATGGTTCCCGCTAAGAGACAGAAGATGCCATGTTCTTACCAGCCTGGAGCAATCCCAGGGCCACAGGCCAGGATGGGAGGGGGGCAGGGGATACCCAGCCTGGAGTTCACGGAACCAGAGAAGTCTGCACCCAGGGCTCAGACCCGGACCCTTGCCATTCTGTGGCTGAGACCCACAGTGAGACGATTCCTTCCTCTGTCCAAATCCTTTCCACCAGCGAGTGTTTTCGGTGGTCTGGACACCTGGCGGGCAAGCCCCTGGTCATTGTGGGTGGGGCGTGGGCTCTGAGATGGCGCAGCACTGGAGTAACATCGCTCACCGAACCTTCTTGGCGGGGACCCCTTGGGTTGGGATGGAGGGTGTCGGCTTCCCTCCTGCACCCCACCCCCCCAGCATCAGAACCTAAAGCAGTGGGGGCCAGAGTGTTCTGGCCTTGCTCTGTCCTCTGCAGAGGGCTCTTATGGCACTGTGGGGCAGTGGGGACCTCAGCAGAGGGGCGCCCCCATATGCTCCCCAGCCCTGCCCCTCCTGGCTGTGCCAGTCCCCCGTGGGGGCTCTGGGTGGGGCCCAGGCTGTTTGCTCGCTGGGAGACCTTGAATGCATTCCTTTCCCTCCAGTTTAAGAAGAGACCGGCTGCAGTAATGGCTGACGGATGGAAGGAGCACCCATAGCCCGCCCCTTGGGGTGCTGCTTCCTGCTAAAAGCACTTTGCATGGGTGCTGGCCACCTCCGGGTGTGGGGAGGGAGGACAGCCCAGCCCAACCCCCTGCCTCCCAAGGATGGCAAGGCCCCGCTCAGAGTGCAGCCGAGGTGGGCAGGTGCTGGGGTTTGCTGAGCCCCTGCGGACTTGCCCGTGAGCTCCAGGACTTGCCCCTGCTGGTCCCGGGCACGCCCTCCGGAGATGCTGTGGAACACTGGGCTGGTTTTAGAGGAGACTGGCTGAGGGCAGTTACCCGAGCTGAGATCTGAGCCAGCCACCGCTGCCCTCCTGGCCCCCTCCCCACACTATCCCGGGTAGCAGAGGGACAGCCCAGCTAGGGCCTGCGCTGGAGCCATCACCAGTTTGTCCTAAAGATCAGTCTCTTGTGCAGAGGCCCCCAGGGCTCAGGAGGGACTCACAAGCTGCTGTCCCTTGGCTCTGAAGGGCTGCGGTCAGCGCTGCCTGTCAGCTCCCTCGCGGGATGGGGGCTTCCAGGGACATGGCCCACCCTCTACCCAGCACCAGGGCGGCCTTGCAACTAGAATCAAGCTTTGTAACCCCTCACGTGAGACCCTCCCTGGTTTCCTGCACCCACTCTACCCCACACAGCCCCCTCACCCTGCTCAGCCCCTCCCTCCTCCTCTTCCTGCCCCTCCGCTCCAGGCATGCTGCTTCCTCTTAGGTTCATGGATCTGCTGCACTTTCTTCCTGCCCACCCCAGGACCTTTGCACATGCTACTCTCTGCCCAACAGGTCCCCTCAGATCCCAGAGAATCGCCTCACCCTCAGGCCCTCCCTGTGCCCAGGAGAGCTGGCCAGGGTTCTTCCTCTCATGGTCACTGCAGCCAGGCACTGTCCCCTGGGCTTGTCACTGTCACCCCACCAGGCTGTGAGCCCCCCTCCCACAGGCATCTCTTCTTGTTCCGTATCTTCTGTGCCAAGAGCATGTGCTACATGTGTGTTTGGATAGATGGGGCGGACACTCCTGCCTGTCCCGCCTGCAGAGAGAGCTCTGTCCCCCTTGCCAGCCCACATCTCCACCCCACTGATCCTACTTGGACAGAGCCCGGCCTGGGGCAGCAGCAGAGAGGGTGGCGGGCCTTGTGCTGTAGGGGAACTCAGGACCAGGGAAGGCTCTGTGCTCTTCTCTCCCCTCCCCACACACCTCCCTCCTTGAGGCTCTGCCAAGAATACACAGAAGGCGCCCCAGGCTGGGCTGGTGCACAGAGCCAACTGTGGGAATAGGCTCCCGGGAGGGCAGGGCATGAAGGGACTCTGGGAGTGACGGTGTCTGGCTGAAGGCCAGAGGAGGGCTAGGGGGGTGCATCAAAGGGGGCCTGGGGACACCGATCATGACTTGATGATGGAGTCGAGCCTAGTGACACAGTGTGGTCTCTGGGTTACAGTGGGGGCGGAGTACGGGGAGGGGCTGACCTGGCTGGAGGGAGGGATGGGGGTGGAGGGAGGAGGCAACACTCCCTCAGAAGTGATGGGGGGAGTAAGTGTTTCCCAGCTGGACAGGGAGAGCTCCCAAGAGTCGTCTCAGAACCCAGGAAGACTGAGAAGTCAGAGCCTGGCATGGAGGTGGCCTGGGAACCCACTGCAGGCTCCGGGGCGTGCTGAGCCCTGGCGACCAGCGGTGAGGCGAGGGGGGCCCCAAGGGGTTCAGGAGATGGTCTCCTCAAGCCAGCAACACCCTCCTGCCAGCGTTGGGTCAGGGATCTACCGCCCAGGGCTCCCCAGAGCTCCCATGTGGGGTTGGGGCTCCTCCCCTTGAAATGCACGAAACAGAAGATTCAAAGGAAACTGTCTGACACGCAGCCATCACGATGTGGACAAATGGATCTGTGGTGCGCAGATGGCGGCCGAGACCCCACACGGACAGGCGCCTCCCTGGGGGGTGTGGGTGCAGCCTGTCTCCCAAGAGGGTCAGCAGGGGCCCATCCAGGCCTCCATCCAGGAAGGAGAAAGCACTAAGTCCAGGGCGCCACTGAGATGATCACACCTCTTAGCCCAGTGCGTGTGCCCTGGGCCCTGTGAGCACCCAGACTGCTGGACTGGGCTGGGGTCATTGGGGCGGAGTGTCCTTCTTGGTCCACCTGGCCAGGCAGCCCCACTGAACTCTGGGAAAGTCGGCATGCACCTGCTCAGACGGACCCAGGGAGTGTGATGTGACTTCTGCTCAGCAGGTGCTCCTTCGTAGGACGCCATAGCGAGTGACACGCTATCGATGCTGTGAAGTCAGCAGTGAGCCGGTGGAGGGGCCCTTGGGAGGGGGGGCGCGCAGGCCGGCTTACGCCACCCAGAGAGTGTGTCTGAGTCCTCTAACGGCTCCCTGGCTGTGACTCAGCTCCACCCCTCCCTGACTGTATGCCCCAGGCTATGAGCCTGTTTTCTTTTCCTGTAAAATGGGCTGATGATCACCAGAGAGCGTGTGCAGATTAAGTGAAGAAGAAGTGGGGAAAGTGCCCAGCACACAAGAGCGGCACGTGTGCATTCTAGTGCCTCTTTTTCAGGCCACCACCTGGGCACCCAGCATCCCCTGCAGGGGGCAGCCTTGGGCTGGAACTCTGTGAGTGAGTGGGGGCAGCAGAGGAAGCCGGCATGGCTGCAGCAGGCAGAGCCAGGGACAGCTTCCAGGACGGAGGTGGGAGGGACCAGGCTGGGGCTGGGGTCTGCTGACTCCCGGTGGTGTGGGAGCAGGAAATGCTGGATTTGGCAGGAAGTGGCACAGAGGGCCTGGTGTGGCAGGGAAGCCAGGCAGGAGAGTGGGGGGTGTACCAGGCCAGAGGCTGCAAGCACTGACCACCAAAGTAACCAGGGGCAGTGGGTAGGGGGAACAGGTGGGGGCCACCATGATGGCATCTTTGGACATTAAAACCATATATATATATATATATATATATATATTAATTTGAGAGAGAGAGAGAGAGAGAGAGAGAGAGAGAGAGAGAGAGAGAGAGGTCTTCCATCTGCTGGTTCACTCCCCAAATAGCAGAGGTTGGGCCGGGTCAATCCAGGAGCTGGGAACGCATATAGGTGGCTGGGGCCCAGGTACCTGAGCCATCATTATTTGCTGCCCTCCCAGGATGTGCACCAGCAGGAAGCTGGATCGGAAGAGAAGCAGGGACTCGAACCCAGGCCCTCTGATGGGGTGCCCTAGTGCCACAGACACCCGTTCTCTGGATGTTTTTGGATGCAGATAAGTGGCACAGTCCCTTTGGAAGTGGGTTCTTACTGCTGCTTAAACAAAGTACAAGACACACTTTCTAGATAACCCAGCCATTCCACGCCCAGGTGCCACTCAGCGAAGACTCAGGGTCACAGCCATCCTGGGTATGTGCACCATCCGCTGGACCTGGTGGGTGGGTGGATGGGGAGGTGACACTCACCTTTGTCTGTCCGAGCTCTGAGAAGCACACAGCACAGCCACGAGACAGAATTACAAGAGCATGGGTAGGCTCAGGTGTCCCATGATGGGGGGCAGTGAATCTGGGGGGGTTGTCACCAGGAGAACAGGGTTGCTCTCCGGGCTCATTCGTTCAGGTCCATGGCAGATGCTGACTGCCAGACGCTGGTGTTAAGAACCCTTCTTGTGCCCTGGCGAAGGGCAGGCACCCCACTGAGGATGGAGGGATCTGTGGCAGTTAGGAAATGGCAGGGCCAGGTGCACCCAGCCAGCACCTTCTCACGTCTCACGTCCTTTCTCCTCCATGGGGTAATCAAACTACAGCCGAGAGAGAGAGAGAGAGAGAGAGAGAGCGAGAGAGAGAGAGAGAGAGAGAGAGCGAGGGCAAGCAGGTGCAGAGGTGCAGGCACCACGCGGGCGCCCCCTGGAGGCACTGAGTGGGACAAACTTGACTCAGCAGGCTTCCTGCTGGGGGATTCCATTCCCGGGGCATTCCAGGGATTTGCCAGGGCTGGGGGAAGGGGTCGTGGACCCCAGAGGCTCAGGAGGGGCTTTGGGGGTGCGCGGAAGTGTGCCAGATTT